GCTTGATCTCCTCAAAGAAACAGGTCTCCTCGGCTGTAGGGTGGTTGAGACTCCCATTGAGCCTAATGTGAAGTTACAAGCCGCCAAAACTGAAGAGGTGAAGGACAAGGAACGATATTAGAGACTTATAGGTAGAATGATCTACTTATCACATACACGTCTTGATATTTCCTTTGCAGTAAGCATGGTAAGTCAGTTTATGTATTCACCAAGACCAGAGCACTTTGAAGTCTACAGGATTCTGAGATATTTAAAAGGAACTCCAGGGAAAGGCCTACTATTCAAGAAACACGGCCATCTGCAGATTGAAGTTTATACTGATGTAGACTGGGCTAGAAGTATTACAGATAGAAGATCTAATTCGGGCTACTGTTCCTTTGTTGGAGGAAATCTAGTTACTTGGCGAAGCAAAAAACAAAATGGTGGCTAGGAGCAGTGCAGAGGAAAAATTCAGAGCTGTTGCCCTTGGAATTTGTGAGGGAATATGGATCAATAGAATACTTGAAGAATTGAAGATTTCTCATTTGTTACCTATAAAAGTCTACTGTGATAACAAGGCTGCTATATCTATAGCTCATAATCCAATTCTACATGATCGAAAAAATCATGTAGAAGTGGATAAGCATTTTATCAAGGAGAAAGTTGACACATGAGTAGTATGCATGCCGTACCTTCCAACAATAGAAAAAGTCGTTGATATGTTAACTAAGGGGCTACATAGAAAGCAGTTTGATAAATTAGTTGGCAAGCTGGCTATGGTAGATATCTTTAAACCAGCTTGAGGGGCAGTGTCGGCAGAGAGAGTCAATTAGGGATTTTATCTCGTTTTAGTCATGATCCTAGAAGAGTATTAGGATGTGTATCTAGTGTAAATATGGAAAGTCAACTCAATAGAATAGGGAATAGGAAACTGTCAATATTTTATTTTATTCCTTTCCTTTTTTGTGTAATCCCGTGTACCTCCTCTTACCTATAAAGAGGGCACTGTATTCATTCAATAAAATTATTCTAGCCACAATTTTATTCTACCTTCTAAGTGTTGACATACCAAGGTAGAAGAAGATAGTTGGATTCAAATGGGTGTTTACTATAAAATGCAGGGTTGATGGTAGCATTGAAAGATACAAGCCGAGACTAGTGGCGAAAGGTTTCACACAAACCTATGGAATTGACTATCAAGAAACTTTTACTCCCGTAGCCAAGATAAATTCAATTCGAGTTTTATTGTCTTTGGTAGCGAATTCTAACTGTCCTTTACATCAGTTGGATATTAAAAATGCCTTTTTAAATGGAGACTTGGAAGAAGAAGTCTTTATGAGTTTACTTCCTGGTTTTGAGGAGAAATTTGGCAAAAATAAAATCTGTAAACTGAATAAGTCCTTGTATGGTCTTAAATAGTCTCCTAGAGCATGGTTTGAACGCTTCGGGAAGGCTGTGAAGAGTTATGGTTACTGCCAAAGTGAAGCAGATCACACCATGTTTTTTAAGCATTCCACAAAAGGGAAAATTACCATTTTAATTGTCTATGTGGATGATATAATCATAACAGGTGATGATAGTGCTCAAGTAGAGAAACTAAAGAAGAGTCTTGCTGATGACTTTGAGATCAAGGACTTGGGCGCTTTGAAATATTTCCTTGAAAGGGAATTTGCAAGATCTAAAGAGGGCATATTTGTTAATCGAAGAAAATATGCTCTTGATTTGCTCAGAGAAACAGGGCTGCTTGGTTGAAAAGCTGCTGAAACTCCAATCGAACCCAATGTCAAGCTACAATCAGCAAAAACCGAGGATGTGGTGAACAAAGAACAGTACCAAAGACTTGTTGGAAGAATGATTTATTTGTCTCATACACGTTCAGATATAGCATTTGCAGCGAGCATGGTGAGTTAGTTTATGCATTCACCAAGACAAGAACACTTTGATGCCGTCTACAGAATATTGAGGCACTTGAAAGGAACTCCAAGAAGGGGTCTGATATTTAAAAGGTGTGACCATTACAAATTGAAGTCTATACCGTTGCAGATTGGTATGGGACTATAATTGATAGACGGTCAACCTCTGGTTATTGTACCTTCGTTGCAGGTAATCTTGTAACGTGGCAGAGCAAGAAACAAAATGTCGTAGCTCGGAGTAGTGCAGTTGAGAAGTTTTGTCGATTGAAAGATTGTTAGAAGATTTGAAGATTCCTGACTCCTCACCCATGAAAGTATATTGTGACAACAAGACAGCCATCTCCATTGCTCATAACCCCGTTCTCCATGACAGAACAAAGCACGTAGAAGTTGACAAGCATTTTATCAAGGAAAAAGCTTGATGGTGGACTAATTTGTATGCCATATATTCCAACTACTGATCAGGTTGCTGATACACTAACAAAGGGACTACACAAGAAGTAGTTCGATAGATTGATTGACAAGCTGGCAATGGAAGATATCTTCAAACCAGCTTGAGGGGGGTTGTTGGAAAATAGAAGACTTAGCTGAGATATTGCCGAATTATAGGAGATTTGATTAGATGATTTGTTATATGTAAATATAGAATTAGTAACTAGTCAAATCTTGTAAAATAGGAAAGTCTGGTAATAGGTTAGCTGGCATAGTTATTTTATTCCTATTTTTTCTCCTTGTCTTTTCCTATAAGCAGGAAACCGTGTAAACTATTTTTATAGAGTATCAATATACGAGAAATTCCATCACTCTATTCTTATCTTTCTAAGTTTATACTTCTCATCCCATGCTCACTAGATTATGTGATGGTATTGTCAAACCTAAGCTTTTCTTATCTACTAACCATCCTTTACCTATTAGTCCTGGACCTGTAGAACCTACTACTGTTTCTCCTGCACTTGTTGTTCCAGCTTGGAAGAAGGCCATGCAAGCTGAGTATACAGCTCTTATGTACAATCAGACTTGGGAATTAGTCCCTATCTCCTAAGTAAATGTTGTGGGAAATAAATCAGTTTCTAAGCTCAAGTTTAATCATGATGGTACTGTTCAAAGACATAAGGCTCATCTCAAGGCAAAGGGTTTTCTTCAAACCCTAGGAATATATTTTTTAGAAACGTTTAGTCTAGTGGTCAAGGCTTCTACAGTTCGCGTGGTTCTTACCTTAGCTATCAATTAAGGTTGGGATGTCAAGCAACTTGATGTGCAAAATGCCTTCTTGTATGGCTTCTTAAAAGAGACTATTTATATGCATCACTCCGAGGGGTTCATTGATCCTGTCAGGAGTACTCATGTTTGTAAATTGAAGAGAGCTCTATATGGTCTTAAACAGGCTCCAAGAGCTTGGTTTGAAAGACTTTTGTTTGCTTGGGGTTTTCATAATTCTCATTCTGATGTGTCTCTTTTCATCTAACATAAAAATGGAGTTTTGCTGCTTCTTCTCTTATATGTAGATGATATCCTCATTACTGGCAATTCAGCTTCTCTCATTTCTCAGCTTATCAAGGATCCCAACAATCAGTTTGCCTTGAAGGAGTTAAGGTCTGCATTATTTCTTGGGTTGAGGCCTATCGAGACAAGTCTAAATACATTTCTGATCTACTGGCTAAAACTGATATGTTAGGTGCAAAAGCCTTGGTCTACTCCAGCTGCTCCTGGCCTTACTTTGTCCAAGACAGAGGGAGAGCCAATGAGAGATCCTTCTTTATACAGAGGCACTTTATACAGAAGCACTAATGGTGCTTTACAATATTTGACTATTACTAGACCGGATATTTCCTACAAAGTCCTACAAAAGTACATTGGCAAGCCTGTAAAAGAGTGTTAAGGTACTTAAAGGGTACTGTCACTCGTGGGATTTCTTTTAAACCGGGACATCAACTGCAATTGACAAGCTTGCTAATGTTGATTGGGCAAGCTGTCCAGGCGGTTAACTAGTGCTTATTGTTTTTTTCTAGCAGGTTGTTTGGTGTCTTGGAGCTCAAAGAAGCAGCATGTAGTGCTTAAGTACTGAGGCAGAGTATAGAGCACTTGCTCACATAGCTGCAGAAATTACATGGTTACAGGCAGTGTAGACAGAGATTGGGGGGTTACTTTACAAACAGCTGATGTATTGACTAAAGGTCTCTCTGTCAGTAGATTTATCAGAATAAGGGAAAAACTCAATGTGGTTGAATCCCCTTTTCGTTTGAGAGGGCGCGTTGAAGACATTAGCCAATCAAGTCAGAGAGAAGTGCCAGTTCAGATCTTGAATCCAGCTTAGCAGAGTCAAGTTGGTAAAGTTAGTTAGAGGAATACCCAAGTTGTATTGAATTAGTTATAGAATCAGGATTGGTATTTTGATTAGTTAGACAACTTGTGTAATTAGTTAGAAGAACAGATGTAGTTATATTCAACTATTAATACAAGTGTTCACTCTCCCAGATTAATCACACTCAGAGATTTCCATCAAAGATTTTCCTCTACTTCTAAACATTTTCCTTCTCATTCTTTCTAGCCAAACAGTGTGTTTTGTCTGCAGGTAACAAAAAACAAGAAAAATAAAAAGGGACTAACTAACTTTTGATCCCTTCTATAAATTTTTGAACAAAAATCAACTGTCTTTTAATGTGAAAAGAGCTAGAATATGCAAGTTTCTTAAAAATACAGACAAAAACTACTGAAGTTTCTTACAAACACACAATGATTTTTTAATGACTAGGATTAATGTAGCATCATCTGGGCTAACATTTCATTAGATTCCAGCACTATTTGACAAGATTAAAACTCTGAAACGAGTAAAAATAGATAAATGCAACAGCATTTGTAAAAAAAAGGAAAGTTCTATTCTGAAAACAAGTTAAAATATAATCGGAACTACTAATAAAATTACCAGTGAGCATATAATTATTTTTTTTTTTTCCTGAAAAAAAAAAAAATCTGCCTATCAAACTTAGACTAACAAACATAACCCACTCTAAATTTGAGTATAAGAAAGAAACAGATCTCTTGTACAAATGGGTTATTTTTCCGAATCAAACGCTAATCATATTTAACATCAATCAACACGGTACTCACAAGAACTCAGAACCCGCAATCTTGGCCTCAGCATCTCGAACACACTGTAGAACGACAGATTTCCCCTCGTCATCCCTATAAGCCCCCTAATGGTTTCATCCCAAATATTAAGCATCAGTCATAAATTCCAAAAACCAAAAATTTCATTACCACCAAAAAATAGAAAAAACAAAAACAAAACAAAACCCCATTTGAAATACCATTCCAAGATTGATCCTGTTGGGATTTGGGTCCGCAAGAAAAGCTTCAGTGACGCCAGTAATGGGGTCCTTAGAAGCAGGGTTGACGTGGTCCCACCAAGTAGTACTGGTTCTGGTTGAGCTCGAAATGCATCTTCTTGTAAGACTAGACGCCATGCATTTCCGATACATGATTGATCGTCAAATCCTCTTTATTTGATCCTTCACTTTTTGAGTTACCATTATGCTTATAAGTATTTTGGTGAGGTATATAAAGAGCTTGGAGTTGGGAGATTTCTTCATCTTCTTCTTCTTCCATGGTTTATTTTGTCACTATTTTCTGTTCCAGTGGGCTAGCTTCTTCCGATTTCATGACCAACAGCCAACAGATCATTGGGTTTTATACTTCCTCGTAGCCAACAGAATTAAGTTTTGACTGTTGATGTGTCCTAAAACCGGTGGTTTTTGTTTTTGTTTTTGTTTTGTATTGTATTTTTTTTTTCTTATGGCACTGATAAGTAAAATGAATTATTTGCATGTTTATATTTTTCAACCGTCTAATTTATATAAAAAAATTAATCTATATAAAAAAAATTTTGTTTTGCATATATATTTTATTTCAATATGATTTCAATTAGATTTAATATTTATAATAATTAAGAAAATTTTCATTTTAATACATTGTGTTATATCTAAATTTACATTTTGTACTTCGATGTTGTAAAAAATCTATTTCTTGGCACCTTGAGATCTTCATAGGACGTAAAATGTCAAACTTTCCTTATTAATAATAGGATAATTAGATTGGTTGGCCCATTTCCTACCTTTATTTAAGTAGATGCTAATCTTTTTTAAACTTACACCAATGGTCTTTTTTTTTTCCCTAAAGTCAATCACTTAGTGGCTGTTTGATATAAGGATTCTGAACCTGAAATTATGATTCTAGGTTTAAACTAGTGTTTGTTTATAAAAAAATAAAAAGTAGTTCTGATTTGACTCACTCAGAATCAGTGTTTGATTTGGATGGTTCTGATTTTAAGATTTAAACCCTGATGTGATGTTTTAAACTATGAATTACCCCTGATTCTAAAATCACCCACCCATTGATTTTGGGTGGTTCAAGCCCATAATTCTAGTTCTGGTTTCAGAATCATAATTTAGACCTAAAATCATAAATTATAGTTCTGGTTTCAAAATCAAAACTAAAATCACCTTGGTTTGAACCCTCATATCAAACGAATTCATAGATCGCAGTCAATCAATGATAGGCCGAGATCAATCAACGATAGACCGATGTTAAAATAGTCTAATAGACTATGACTGATAGACCATAGTCAATCAACGATAGACTATGGTCAACCAGCGATAGACTGTGAAAAGAAAACCCAAAAGGCAAAATTGGTAGTCAATTACTAATAGACCGCAATCAATCAATGATAGACCGTAATCAATTGGTGATAGACTACAGTCAATCAGTGATAGACTGTGAATAAAAATAGAACCCAAAAGCTACAACCATGTGTTGACTCTAAAAGTGATGCTATTTATGAAAATTATGCTCCTAAAGGGGCATATTCACTGGAGAAAATTAGTGAACTCACCATTTGAATGCATTGTTTAAAGATTTTTACTCTTTACTCTTGATCAATACCACTTTAACTAATATAATTTTTTGATTAAAGGGTATTAATTAAGAGTAAGGAGTGAAAGTCTAAGACCCACTTATATTCATTTGCACAACTCAAGTTATGACTTGAGTTGCGCATGTGAGAGAAAAATAATGTAACAAAAAAAATTAAATTTAAATTTTTATGAGAAAAAATACTGTAACAATTTGACTTGAGTCATGAATCAAAGTCATGAAATGAATAAGGCAGTACCCAATTGCAGTTGATGTCCTAGGTGTCCTACCATGATACTTAGACATGTCATGTCGTAATACTACCAAATTCAGGGAGCCAAACAACTGTCAGTATCATACTATGATACTTTGGGGGCGTTTCGTACGCAGTAATCAGTAGAAATCATATTCCTGAGAAAGTGATGGAGGGTAATATGATTCTCAGGAATAATACATTACTATGTTTGGTTCCATACATGAATCTTGTCTCAAATTCCCAGGAATAATGCATTATTGTGTTTGGTTGTGCGTAGGAATGTTGTGTATTAAAAAAAACGTTCAAGGGATTAAAATGTAATTTAAAAAAAATTAAATGTCAAATATATTTTAAAAAGTTAATGTTTGCTAAATGAAGCATTTCTTGGTTAAATACATTTACTACATAAAAATAATATAAGGATAAAATTGTAACACGATGTATTGAAAATTTAAACTATGCTATTTATTTTTACTACAAATGGTTTAATAAAATGGGCTATTACGATTTCTCAAAAAAAAAAAAAATTGTATTGACCTTATAGAAAAAGGATCCGACCCGGTAGTTAATTAGCCTGGCTTACCATTATGTGCATGATTACTGATTCAAGAATACCACCTTCTTTGATTTCCTTTGAAATCCATTACTTCTGAATAGGCGGAAGACAGTTTTACACTTTTATTCAATCATTTGTGAATCTAGACCATACCTTTCATCTTCTTGAAGGTGATGTGAGCAAGATCGGCGAGAGATCCCCGATGTCACTTTGTTGGCTGACAGCCAGATCAACTAAATGAGCTTCTGTGGAGACCTTCGTCGGATCCTATGAAGAGAACGGAGTCACTCAAATGTCAGTGAAATCTCCACCGCTACCAGCAAACGATCACATCTTGCAACGGCATTCTCCGAATGGCAAGCTGCGACGACAACTTCTTCTCCAACAGAATTACAAACCGACGATCATCTCGAACGACGTAGTGCATTAAATTGTTCCTCATCGTCGAGATAGGCGTATGAGCTTAGAAGAAATTAGTGAGAGAGATTTTGATTCCCGTGATATTACTTTCCTGGGAAAGTGAATAACACCTTATTAGGTGGGTTTAGGATTACCCCAAAATGTGGTAATGTGAATCCCATGGGCTTCACATTCCTGGGTTTTAAAAAAGTTCAATAATTGTACTAAACATAGAAATCTTTCAGATTCCCATTTCCACTCTTAAGATTACCCCATACCAAACGCTCCCTTTGTAGTTTTCAGCTGGAGACTAACAATTTCTTGGCATGATACTTTGTGGGCATTAACCACACTGGTTTTCTCACTAAAATACTTAAAAAGAATGAAGAAAATCCAAAAAGAAAAAATCACTAACAAAAAACACAAAACCATAAAAGAACATAAAATAATCTACATATAAGAAAGCACAAGACTTTCTCCTTGTGTTTTGGTTGAAAAAATGTTTTGGTACCAATCTTTTTACCTTCTCTTTTTATTTTTTAGTCCTTATTTTGTCTTTCCTTTTTATCTTTTGGTCCCTCCTTTTTTTCTTCTATTTTTTTGTTCTTATTTTTTGCCCTTCTTTTTTTCTTTTTACCTTTTAGTCCTTCCTTTCTTTTTTTTCCTTATTTTTTGTTCCTTTTTTGCTTTAAAACTTATTTATTTTTTCATTTTGGTCATTTTTAATGTCTTTTTTTTTTTTACTTTTTGCCCTAATTTCTTTTAAATTTTGGTTCGTTTTGCTTTAAAAATTATTTATTTTTTCATTTTAGTCCTTTTTGACCCTTTTTTTTATGTTTCCCCTAAAAAAATTTTTTTGTTTTTTTTTCTTTTTAGGATTTTATATTCAAATTTTATATGCTTATAAAATGTGTCTTCATACTCATTATCAAAGCCTATTCATACTCACATTATAAATCACAACTACTTGACCATATACATGAATATAATTACAACAACTTTGGTATTTGAATTCTGACTGAATTTGGTATATACGTAATATTGTCTCTCATAAATCGCAACACAAATTAATCAAGATTAAATAAATCCTAAGCTATTAGTTATGCATATATTTATAGATCATAAACTAAACTACCTATGCTTTTAAGAGTTCTTGTGAACAATCATAACAAAATTTCTCTCAAACTACTATTTTTCTTTTTAGTAAATAAAGAAAAAAGACAACTGACGTTATTCTAAAAACCGGAACGTCAACAATTTTTACAACTTGATTTAATCCTTATAAAATTAACTAATTAAGAGAAGGCCCCGTTAAAAATTAACTCGGAATGAACCCAGCGAAGAAGTAATAATGAAACCCCAACTTTTTTTTTTTCCTTTCTTGCTGAGAATGAAACCCCAACTTTTTTCGTCTTGCTTAATGAAACCCAAAATTCACAAATGATAAACATAGCCCAAAAACCTTCAAACGACAAGCGTTTCACATTCCCGATTCCCAAATATTTGAGTCATTATTTTAATATATCTAGCTAGATCTTTGCCAACATACTTTAGGTACTTTCCTCGGATCTACTTTTATTAGCTACCCCTGGCGGGTCCTAAATACAATATAAAAAAAAAACGTTTAATCATGTCTGTCCAATTTCAATCCATCCAACGGTTGCATGCTATTGTGCTGACCAGACATGTGTTTCTACTGCTGCCTGTTTGGAGACAATTCCGAATAAATATATTCGAGCCTATAATAAATGCATCATGAATAATATATAATAACTCCTCTCCCTCTCTCTTCTATTCTTTTCTTTTCTTTTCCTTTCTTTCTTTCTTTGAAGGACATCAGTCAATACGTTGCCAAACTTATAATCAGAGCATAAGCGTTCAAATAATATTTTGAGCGCGTATAGTAATGAGTTCAAATTTTGAGCGACAAAATAACTGGTTCAAATGTGCTATCTCATTTTTGTATTTCATTTTCCTGTCCCTAATTAAATTTCGACACGTCCTTTATTTACTTAAATATTGTTCCCAATCTTTAGTTCCTAATTATCTGCTCATGTCACCGTAAATTAAATTATATGAGAAATAAATAGTGGATTGATAAGCACAGGAACAGGAACAGAAAAATAGCGATAGCAGAGCTGGACTCAAGAAAGTAACATGTACCGCCACCAGAGTCACGATCAGCAACGGCCAAGAGATCAGCACAGGAGACGACTGGGCCACCACAGCAGCTATCCACCGCGGTCTTGATGTCATCCACAACCTCAAATCCCTGCACCGAATTCAGATTTGCAATCGCGTTCTTTTCACTGTCGATGGTCTCAGATGAGTCAAGAAGTATTGAGCCATCACAACCCAGAATATTAATTTATACAACAATACATAAGCAAGTTAGTATTATAATCGATCTCCATGGTAAAGATAATTAGTGAAAGAAATATCATTAGAGTTTTTGGTCTTGTTCTAGTAATAGTACTCTAAGACGAAAATATATAATTACATTGACAAAACAATCATGGAAGTGGAGACGAAGTAAAGAAGCTCCCATGCGTCCTTCTTTCGCCACAGCGGCGTCAACGATGCTTTTGATGGCCGACAGTGCGGCGGGGCACGACTCGTTGTAGAAGTTAGGAGAGAGTTCCGCTGAGGAGCATGTTGCTGCAAGAGAGAGTATTAATGCAAATGCTGCTAAATGACTTGCCGTTGAAGCCATTTCCTAGCTTGTTATTAGGTGTCTAGTGGGGTTTTTAAATCTGTTGTTAGTACCGGTTTTAGTCTTTTAACACTTTATAAGACAATATGAATAATGCAGAAATATAAAATAAAAGAACACGAGAGAAATGATATCGCGGTTCGGTAACACCCTACTCTGTGGGGTCACGCCCAGATGATGAACAATCCACTAAGAACTCTTTTACAATTCAATTGGACTTAATCTACCCGAGACTCCCTCTCTAAGAAGACGCCTATGAACTTGTAATTTTCCAATGGACTTGAACAACGAGATCCCCTCGACTTTTAACATTGGAATCCCTCAAACTAAGTTTTTCTCCCAAAAAATACTCAAATCATCTCTCTCAATACAAGTGCTCACCATTGTCTCACAACCCAGCAAAAACTCATCAAGAGGCGTACAAAGACTTAAGGGACACTTTCAATAAATAAGCAAGCGGTGAATAGTTTGACACATATTCAATTAATTCGCTGAACCAAATCTGTCGCAGATCCTTGTTGCAACAAAACTGCAACATAGCTGTTACGGTCAACTTTCTCAAAACCAGACGAATCAATCTCCTTTCATTCTGAAATCTTCCCAAAATTGATAAACGAACCTGGACACGTTCTTAGGCGACATAGGAAGATCATCCAGCTATGAAATCTCAATCAAGAATGAATCAAATCAATTTTTCATCTTTGAATCAATAGTTGACTTACAAAAATAGAAACTAAAACAAGTTTCCGGATCTTTTAGTAACATTCCATACAAAGCTAGCCAGCTGCACATCTATTTTAAAACACAATCAACCAGCCAAGCATTTTTAAAATAATGCCAATCAAATCCGATTACAATCAATACACAAATTTAGAAACAAATCCCAACAATCTCCCCCTTTGGCATTGTTTTGGCAAAACTAATATTAGCAACTAAAACACAATACTTTTTGTAAAGTCAATCCGCACAAATCAAACCTACTAGAAAAGAAGTAATAAGGAAGAAGAAGTAGAAGAAGAAGAAGAAGAAGAAGAAAAAGTAGTAAGCAAAAAGAAGTAATAAGGAAGACGAAAAAGATGAACAAGAAGAAGTAGTAGTAGTAGTAGTAAGCAAAAAGAAGTAATATGGAAGAAGAAGAAGTAGTAAGCAAAAAGAAGTAATAAGGAAGAAGGAGAAGAAGAAGAAGAGGAAGTAGTAAGCAAAAAGAAGTAATAAGCAAGAAGAGTAAGCAAAAAGAAGTAATAAGCAAGAAGAAGAAGGAAGAAGAAGTAGTAAGCAAAAAGAAGGAAGGAGAAGAAGAAGAAGCAAAGTGGAGCCAAAATGAAGCAAGAATGAAGAAGAAGAAGTAGTAAGCAAAGTGGAGCAAAAATGAAGCAACAATGAAGAAAAAGAAGAAGTAAGCAAATGGAGCCAAAATTAAGCCAAAATGAAGAAGAAGAAGAAGAAGAAGTAGTATGCAAAATAGTAATAAGCAAGAAGAGTAAGCAAAAAGAAGTAATAAGCAAGAAGAAAACAAGAACAAGAACAAGAAGCAAAGTGGAGCCAAAATGAAACAAGAATGAGAGGAACAAGTACTAAGCAAGGTGGAGCCAAAATGAAGAAAGAATGACGAAGAAGAAGTAGTAAGCAAATAGAACTAGTAAGCAAAATGAAGTAATAAGCAAGAGTAGTAAGCAAAAAGAAGTAATAAGTAAGAAGACGAAGGAAGAAGAAGTATTAAGCAAAAAGAATTACTAAGCAAGAAGAAGAAGAAGAAGAAGAAGAAGTAGTAACCAAAAAGTAGTAATAAGGAAGAAGAAGAAGGAGAAGAAGTAGTAAGCAAAAAGAAGTAATAAGGAAGAAGAAGAAGAAGAAGAAGAAGAAGAAGAAGTAAGCAAAAAGAAGTAATAACGAAGAAGAAGAAGAAGTAAGCAAAAAGAAGTAATAACGAAGAAGAAGAAGAAGAAGTAAGCAAAAAGAAGTAATAACGAAGAAGAAGAAGAAGAAGTAAGCAAAAAGAAGTAATAAGGATGAAGAAGAAGAAGAAGAAGAAGAAGAATTAAGCAAAAAGAAATAATAAGGAAGAAGAAAAAGAAGAAGAAGAAGTAAGCAAAAAGAAGTAATAAGGAAGAAGAAGAAGAAGAAGAACAAGTAGTAGTAGTAGTAAGCAAAAAGAAGTTGTAAACAAAAAGAAGTAATAAGTAAGAAGAAGAAGGAAGAAGAAGTTGTAGGAAAAAAGAAGTAATAAGCAAGAACAAGAAGGAAGAAGAAGTAGTAAGCAAAAAGAAGTAATAAAGCAAGAAGAAAAAGACGAAGAAGAAGAAGTAGTAGTAAGCAAAAAGAAGTAATAAGGAAGAAGAAGAAGTAGTAAGCAAAAAGAAGTAATAAGGAAGAAGAAGAAGAAGTAAGCAAAAAGAAGTAGTAAGCAAAAAGAAGTAATAAGCAAGAAGAAGACGGAAGAACAAGTAGTAAGCAAAAAAGTAGTCATAAGCAAGAAGAAGAAGAAGAAGAAGTGAGCAAAATGAAGTAATAAGGAAGAAGAAGAAGAAGAAGAAGAAGTAGTAGTAGAACGCAAAAAGAAGTAATAAGGAAGAAGAAGAAGTAAGCGAAATGAAGTAATAAGGAAGAAGAAGAAGGAGAAGAAGAAGTCGTAGTAGTAGTAAGCAAAAAGTAGTAAGCAAAAAGAAGTAGTAGTAGTAGTAAGCAAAAAGAAGTAATAAGCAAGAAGAAGAAGGAAGAAGAAGTAGTAAGCCAAAAAAGTAATAAGCAAGAAGAAGAAGAAGAAGAAAGAAGCAGTAGTAAGGAAAAAGAAGTAATAAGGAAGAAGAAGAAGAAGTAGTAAGCAAAAAGAAGTGACAAGGAAGAAGAAGAAGCAGAAGAAGAAGAAGAAGAAGTAAGCAAAAAGAAGTAATAAGGAAGAAGAAGAAGAAGAAGAAGTAAGCAAAAAGAAGTAATAAGGAAGAAGAAGAAGAAGAAGAAGTAGGCAAAAAGAAGTAATAAGGAAGAAGAAGAAGAAGAAGAAGTAGTAGTAGTAGTAGTAGTAGTAAGCAAAAAGAAGTAGTAAGCAAAAAGAAGTAATAATCAAGAAGAAGAAGGAAGAAGAAGTAGTAAGCAAAAAGAAGTAATAAGCAAGAAGAAGAAGAAGAAGTAGTAGTAGTAAGCAAAAAGAAGTAATAAGGAAGAAGAAGTGGTAGTAAGCAAAAAGAAGTAATAAGGAAGAAAAAGAAGAAGAAGAAGAAGTAGTAGTAAGCAAAAAGAAGTAATAAGCAAGAAGAGTAAACAAAAAGAAGTAATAAGCAAGAAGAACAAGGAAGAAGAAGTAGTAAGCAAAAAGAAGTAATAAGCAAGATGAAGAAGAAGAAGAAGAAGAAGTTAGCAAAAATAAGTAATAAGGAAGAAGAAGAAGAAGAAGAAGAAGTAGTAGTAGTAGTAAGCAAAGTGGAGCCAAAATGAAGAAGAAGAAGAAGAAGTAGTAGTAAGCAAAAAGAAGTAAGAAGAATAAGAAGAAGAAGAAGAAGAAGAAGAAGAAGCAAAGTGGAGCCAAAATGAAGCAGAATGAAGAAGAAGAAGAAGTACTAAGCAAAAAAAGTAAGAAGAAGAAGAAGAAGAAGAAGAAGAAGAAGAAGCAAGGTGGATCCAAAATGAAGTTAGAATGAAGAAGAAGTAGTATGCAAAAAGAAGTAATAAGCAAAGAAGAAGTGGAGCCAAAATGAAGCAAGAATGAAGAAGAAGTAGTAAGCATAGTGGAGCCAAAATGAAGCAAAAATGAAGAAGAAGAAGAAGTTGTAAGCAAAAAGAAGTAATAAGGAAGAAGAAGAAGGAAGAAGAAGTAGTAAGCAAAAAGAAGTAGTATGGAAGAAGAAGAAGAAGTAGTAAGCAAGAAGAAGAAGTGGTAAGCAAGAAGAAGAAGTAGTAAGCAAGAAGAAGAAGAAGAAGAAGTAGTAAGCAAGAAGAAGAAGAAGAAGAAGAAGAAGTACTAAGCAAAAAGAAGTAATAAGGAAGAACAAGAAGAAGAAGAAGAAGAAGTAGTGTAAGAAGAAGAAGTGCAAGAAGAAGATGTAGTAAGCAAGAAGAAGAAGAAGAAGAAGAAGAAGAAGAAGAAGAAGAAGAAGGAGGAGGAGGAGGATGAGGAGGAAGAAGAAGGAAGAGGAGGAGGAGGAGGAGGAGGAGGAGAAGCAGGAGGAAGAGGAGGAAGGGAAGAAGAAGAAGTAGTAAGCAAAAAGAAGTAATAAGTAATAAGGCGAAGGAAGAAGAAGTAGTAGGCAAAAAGAAGTAATAAGCAAGAAGAAGAAGAAGAAGAAGTAAGCAAAAAGAAGTAATAAGTAAGAAGAAGAAATAAGGAAGAAGAAGAAGAAGTAGTAAGCAAAAAGAAGTAATAAGCAAGAAGAGTAAGCAAAAAGAAGTAATAAGCAAGAAGAGTAAGCAAAAAGAAGTAATAAGCAAGAAGAAGAAGGAAGAAGAAGTAGTAAGCAAAAAGAAGTAATAAGCAAGAAGAAGAAGAAGAAGTAAGCAAAAAGAAGTAATAAGGAAGAAGAAGAAGAAGAAGAAAGCAAAGTGGTGCCAAAATGAAGCCAAAATGAAGAAGAAGAAGAGGTAGTAAGCAAAAAGAAGTAAGAAGAAGAAGAAGAAGAAGCAAAGTGGATCCAAAATGAAGTTAGAATGAAGAAGAAATAGTAAGCAAAAAGAAGTAATAAGCAAAGAAGAAGTGGAGCCAAAATGAAGCAAGAATGAAGAAGACGAAGTAGTAAGCAAAAATAAGTAGTAAGCAAAAAGAAGTAGTAAGCAAAGAAGAAGTGGAGCCAAAATGAAGCAAGAATGAAGAAGAAGAAGAAGAAGAAGAAGTAAGCAAAGTGGAGCCAAAATGACGCCAAAATGAAGAAGATGTTGGAAAAATAACGGCATTGAGTGCGCAGCAGAATTTAAAAAATTTAATCAACGTCAAAGCAAACCAATAACATTTTCATGATGTTATATAACATAAATACTAAAGATCTAAATCATACATTTTGAGATTTTAGGAA